GGGAATGTGTTTATCATTGTTCCTTATTAGTATACACCCCCTCCCCCAGGCGACCGGGGGCCAACCAGGCACCATGCCGACACCATGACCACCCGCCCGCTACCATCCCTGTCAAAAAAAATACAAACCGTACTCTGCCTCCACATTTGGAGCATGCGCGGCCAACCCGATGCGCCACCCCCCATCATCCCTGTCAAAAGTCCATGCACAACGCACTTTGGGGCAAAGTCTTTCATATTGCGAGCCCGCGAGCATTTCATATTGCTTGCGGCGGCCCGCGAGCATTTCATATTGCTTGACAGCGGAGGAGTTAGCATATTCCCTGCTGTGCGCAGGTTTACCACCCATTCAATACAACGTGCACCTCGCGGCTAAATCTGGATCGTGCGCCGCCATCCCGGGATCATTGTCATGTGGTTTTCGCCAGGGACGGCGGGGGTCGTGGCGCGTGGTCTGCTTCGCGCAGGCCTAACAAACATAAATATGGGGATCGGTGTTCCACAAGGATGGCGGGGGCCCACATTTGTTCCCGATGTGTGCTGTCACGTGCGCAGGAGCACCTGACGCACTCTGCACGTGCCCCGAACGCGGCGCACCTGGCGCGGCTGGAGAGCGCGGCACACCTGGCGCACTCGGAGCACGTGGCGCAGCTGGCGCAACAGGCGCCCCAGGGGTGCCTCGCGCGCATGGCGCCCTTGGCACGCGTGGCGCACCTCGCCCAAACGTCGCGCACCTGGGGCCGGCTTTGGTTCCCAATAACTGTCCATCCAAAGACGTCCGCTGAACATGTTCAGGCCCGGGTGTTACTTATTTGTAGTGAGGGCGGGTGGGAGTGAGCTAGACGTTTTGCGGGCGGCTGGGTGTCTTGACCACCAGTGATATATTCCCCGGTTCGATGGTTTCACTTTTGATTAAATGACATGTTCCCCGGTCGACCGGGGAAATGAGGTGTGGACGGAAGACCTCGCGCATATTCAACGTAAATGTGTGTCGTCCATGCGAGAGCCGAGAAAGACGATCACTACCGACTGCTGGGAAGAAGAAGAAGTAGTAGTAGTAGCAATAGTAAGAGTAATAGTAGTGGTAGTAGTATAAGTAGTAGTAATATAGAAAGCCGGAGTAGAAGTAGCAGCAGTAGTAGCAGTCGTATTAGTAGTGGTAGCAGTAGTAGTAGTAGTAGTAGTAGTAGTAGTAGTAGTAGCAGTAGCAGTAGCAGTAGCAGTAGCAGTAGCAGTAGCAGTAGTAGTAGTAGTAGTAGTAGTAGTGATAGTAGTAGTAGTAGTAGTAGTAGTAGTAGTAGTAGTAGTAGTAGTCGTAGCTATAGTAGTAGTCGTAGTAGTAGTTAGAGCAGTAGCAGTAGCAGTAGTACTACTACTAATACTAATGATAGTAGTAGTAGTAGTAGTAGTAGTAGTAGTAGTAGTAGTAGCAGTAGCAGTAGTAGTAATAGTCGTAGTCGTAGTCGTAGTAGCAGTAGTAGTAACAATCGTAGCAATACAAAGAGGAGTAGTAGTAGTAAGAATGATCATTGTAGTCGTAGTAGTACTAGTACTAGTAGTACTATTTCTACGCGTGCTAGTAACAGCCCTAGCTGCAGCAGCACTAAGGACAACGATACTATTAGTAGTCGTATGTGTGGTGGCAATGCAAGCGTCGTCAAAACTGTCAAGAAATGGAAATTGAAATCCTGGAGCACGATGCTTCCGGGCACGTGCGAGAAAGCGCGTTCTTCAATGTTGAGAAGGTTGGGCCGGTGTTTTGACAACACCGCGTCCGAGTCAACAGGCATCCGTCAGCATTGGAGTAGCGCTGACCCCACAATCACCGAATTCAGGAATCTACTGTTTATGTTTGACGAGGCTTGTAGCAGCAGTGATAGTGGTAGTAGTAGTCGTAGTAGTAATAGTAATAGTAGTAATAGCCGTAGTAGTAGTAGTAGAAGTAGTAGTAGTAGTAGTAGTAGTAGTAGTAGTAGTAGTAGTAGTAGTAGTAGTAGTAGTAGTAGTAGTAGTAATAGTAGTAGTAGTAGTAGTAGTCGTAGTACTAGTAGTAGTAGTAGTAGCAGTAGTGGTAGTAGTAGTAGTAGTAGTAGGACTAGTAGTCGTAGTAAGAATTGGAACGTAGTAGTAGTAGTAGTAGTAGTAGTAGTAGAAGTAGTAGTAGTAGTAGTAGTAGTAGTAGTAGTCGTAGTCGTAGTAGTAGCAACGACACCAGCAGCAATAGTAACAATGATGCTATGTGTAGTTGTGATAGTGGTGAATGTAGTGAGAATAAAAATAGTACTAGTCGTTGTCGTAGTAGAAGTAGTAGTAGCAGAACTAGTACTAATGTAGTCGTAGCAGTAGTCGTAATATGAATAGTAGCCGTAGTAGTCGTCGTAGTCGTAGTAGTAGTGGAAGTCGTAGTAGTAGTAGTAGTAGTAGTAGTAGTAGTAGTAGTAGTGAGGAATACTACGAGCAGTACGATGAGTCGTGGCACAGGCATTCGTGACAACGATTATATGAGTAGGCGTTTGTGTGGTGGAAAGAAATAGCACCAGCGATCGTGGTAGTAGTAGCAGTAGTAGCAGTAGCAGTAGCAGTAGCAGTAGCAGTAGTAGTAGTAGTAGTAGTAGTAGTAGTAGTAGTAGTAGTAGCCTTAGTAGTAGTAGTCGGCGTAGTACTAGTACTAATAGTAATGGTAGCAGTAGTCGTAGAAGTAGTAGTAGTAGTAGAAGTAGTGGTAGTAGAAGTAGTAGTAGTAGTAGTAGTAGTAGTAGAAGTAGTGGCTCGGCTTGGGTGGTGCGAAACGATTCGTTTTTGTGGTTGGACATCATTCGAGCATAGGAGCATGGTTCTATCACAGGAGCACCGCTCACGCATATGAGTATCATTCACACAACATCATGCACTATGTGTATGTGTATGTGTATGTGTATGTGTATGTGTATGTACATGTGCATGAATACGTATATGAGTCGAACTCGAAGATATGCATATTTGTGTTTCTGCTCTTAGGAGGCCTCTTGGAGCTCTCTTAGAAACCCTTGGAGGCCTCTTAGAAGCCTCTAAGAGACCTCCGGGAAGCCTCTACGAGGCCTCGAAGCCTTTAAGAGGCCTCCTTTGGCCTCGTTGAGGCCTCGTTGAAGCCTCGTAGAGGCCTCTTAGAAGCCTCTGAGAGGCCTCTTAGAAGCCTCGCAGAGGACTCTTAGAAGCCTCCAAGAGGCCTCTTGGAAGCCTCGAAGAGGCCTGAACGACGCCGCTTTGCGACGAGTAGGATTTCCTCACGTTTTAGAATGGGGAATAAACCAGTTCGACCGGGAACAACTCCGTTCCACTGGTGTATATATCATCAAGCCGGTGTTTACAATTCGACCTGTCTTGACCCTCCCTTTTCTTGGGCCTGGGAGGGGGGGGGGGGCAGGCAGTTGAAGTCTCAAGATGAACCTAAGATGGCTCCAAGAGGGCCCTCGGCAGCCCAAGTAGGCCTCCAAGATGGCTCAAGATAGCCGAATATGGTTCTATACAGCTTCCTACATACCTCCAAGAGGCCCCAAGGCAGTCCCAAGACGGTTCAAACCTTCAAGCCTTTCTAGGGGCCCTCCAAGAGGCCAACATCCTTCAAAGACCTAAGGCATATCATGTGTTTTGCCTTCTCGCTTGTTCGCTTTCGACCAGCGTTTGAGGTCTCAAGATGTCCCAAGGATGGCCCAAGAGAGCCCGAAGAGGGGCTCAAGAGCGCCCCACGAGGCCTCCCAGACCATTCCAATGATCCCCTAAGAGGGCCCCAAGACCCCGAAAACAGGCCCCAAGAGGGCCCCAAGGTGCCCCATGGGGACCCCAAGGGAGCCCCTAAGATTGCCGTAGTCGTCCTTCAAGAACCTCTCACAACAACGTATCCCAAAAGCCCGACTTTTCATCCTCCTTGTCATCGTCCGTTCCTTCCCTCTTCCTGTCCTGCCTCCTCCCTTCTCCTATTCGTCCGCCTCCTCCTCCCTCCGTCATCCTCTTCCTCCTCCTCCTACCCCCAGGATGGTCTCAGGCCTCCCAGAGGCCTCAAGACAGCCTCAAGGTGGCCCAAAATAGTTGAGCATGGCTCAAGACAGTCTCCGACAGCCTCTAGCCGAGCATGGCTCAAGATAGCCTCCGAGAGGCCCTAAGGAAGGCGCAGATCGTGTCTGGATAAGCTGGTGTGAAGACGCGAGGCGTCAAGAATTCATCAACTCTGCACCACCCGCTGGCCACATGTGGCCAACGCCTGGCCCATGTTTGACCACTTAGGCATGTTCTCAACAAGCATGGGGTAGAGATGACTTGCCGAAGGCCCGACTCTTTAAAAATGTGCGCAAACGAACGGGCGTGCCGTTGAAAACATGGTAAGCAGAGCAGTGCACAGGATGTTTCCGGAAGTGAAGGTGTACCAAGTGCGGAGCGCAGCGGCGAACCTTCCAGCTCTTCATACCAGTTACACCACTGCGCCTGTAAATTCTGCGGCCAGTTCTAAGTGACGAAGCTTTGAAAACAGCCTTGCTCATGAAATTCAATCCACATTGAATGGATAGGGCGGACATTCCTCCTCAGTTCGTGCCCCGGGCGTCCACCTGCAACTCCAAACACTATCCCGCCGACCGTGATTGCCTGCCTCGGCTGTCTCGAAGCACTTCTCGCCGAGTGTAAGCCGTTTCCGTGCGTCTTTCGCCAGGAGGCCCACCAGAAGAGATGTGAAACTCGGGGAGAATACCTCGGCCAAGGTCTCGCCGCAACCCTTACGCAGACGGCGCTTGCACAGAAACCGTTGCAGACCGAACGTGCTGACGTATTCGTAGAGCTCGCAGGATCTAGGCTTAGTCGAGCTCCAGGGGTAATCCTGGGCGGCCATGGCAAATAATACCACACCAAGGGAGAATGAGTCCGTCATGAAGGTGTCGAACGGATGCGGCAAGTGCATTTCAGGGGCCTGGTATGACAATTTACCCCTGATTTCAGCCGACGCCGACCGGTCCAACGTGGCCATCCCAAAGTCTATGATCTTGATCCTCTGATCGCCGTTTTCAATATGGATAAGCATGTTCTCCAGGGATCAACGGACCCCCGCTTGCCGTGGGTGAACAGGCGTGTGAAAAACTTTGGGCTGCCCCCTTCCCCTTCGATCCACCTCCCCCGAGGTCCAAACTCGAGCTTGAGGGGGGTGGGGCGGGTCCCCCGACGATCTCCTCCACCTCCCGGGCCCTCCGAGCTTCCAAGTCCAATCTCGGACGCCTCATGGATCCACAGGATCCTCTCCAAGACGACGACAGCAGGGCTCCAACACGCCCAGGAAGCCTCAGGAGAAACCCCAGGAGCCTCACAAAGGACCCAGACAAAAAACCGAATCGGGTCCCCGTGAGGGCGCCCAGATGCCAGGAAAGATCGAACCGACTCGAGGTCGTTGCAAAGTACCATCTCGCCGCATGGCTTTCAGACGGCTCCGAGAGGTCCCGAAAGCTTCCGGAACGCTCCCAGGCGGTCCAACACACCACCGACGATCCCACCGAAGGGCCCCAAAAAAGCCGCTCCGCGCGGGCCTCGACGCCGCCCCCCAGGAGAGTCCTCCGCGCGGGGCGCCCCTCCGAAACGAGCCCACGGCGCCTGGAAGGGCGACCAAAGATGGCCCGAAGGGGCCCCGGAGGGCCCCAGAAGGCCACCGAGACGACACGGCGGCCACAGGCCAGCGGGTGCACCGGAGAGGGGGGCCAGGCGTGCCAGGAAGAGGGGGGGGTCAGCGCAGGAGGGACCGCGACGCGTGCGCGGGACGAGGGGGGGGGGGCGGGGAGCGCGTGAGGAAACCGAGGGGGTCATGAGATCTGGGAGAGCCCGTGCCCCCAGACATGATGCCCACGCTTTTGTCCGCCGGCGGCGAGGCAAAGTTGGCTTCCCCAGCGAGGAGCTGGGCGGGGGTCCAGCGAGGAGCGGATCGGCCAGCGTGCACGAGGGGAAGGCGGGGAGGCGAGGCGGCCGCGGGGAGAGGAGGAGGAGGCCGCTCGGGGGCGGGCGGGTCTGCACCCGAGCAGGCTGGCGACAGGATGTCCGCACATCCAAGGAGCCCTCGCCTCCCCGCTTCGATATGGCCCCGAGAGGCAGGCACGGGCATCCACGGAGCACTCTCCCCACGAGTCCCCGCCGCGGGAGGTACATATATATGACCCAGGGTCGAGGGTTCACGGGCCACCCCCCCCCACCCCCCCAGATGGTATGGTCCCAGGACTCCTCGGGCCCCCCCCCCCCGCCAGATGGTATGGTCCCAGAGACGACGACGACGACGACGACGACGACGACGACGACGACGACGACGACGACGACGACGACGACGGCGGCGACGGCGACGGCGACGGCGACGACTACGACGGCGACGACTACGACGACGGCGACGGCGACGACTACGACGGCGACGACTACGACGACGGCGACGACGACGACGACCACGACGACGACGACGACGGCTGCGGCGGCGACGACGCCGGCGGCGGCGGCGGCGTCGACGGCGTCGACGACGATGACGACGATGACGACGGCGACGACGACGATGACGACGACGACGATGATGACGAGGACGAGGACGACGAGGACGACGAGGACGACGAGGACGACGAGGACGACGACGACGACGACGACGACGACGACGACGACGACCTCTGAACCACACAGCACCACACCACATCCACAGGGGGGGGAGGGGGGCACCGCAGCGCAGCACCACGCCACGCCCACTTCTGAACCACCACAGCACCACACCACATCCACAGGGGGGGGGGGGCACCGCAGCGCAGCACCACGCCACGCCCAAAGGGGGGGGCGGGGGGGACCATCGCGCGGGGAGGGGGGGGGCCCAATGGCATCAGCATTGGGGGGGGGGGCCCAAGCCCTGGACCATATATCCATCCCCCCCCGCTGATTGTGCCTGCGCCCCCTGCCGAAGGACGAGGTGATCCGACGAGAGGGCTGTGCCCGCGAGCCATCGGAAGTGCACTCCGACGCCTCCCAATCCTCTGGACGTGCTGCTGGACCGCCCCCCCACACTTGGTCCCCCGAACCACACAACAGCCACTCCAGGGGTGGGCGGAATGGCGCGAGCTGCCCGAACAAATCTCGGTGGGCGACGCCGAGGTCGTGCAGCCGCCTCACTCCCGCGAAGATCTGCTCCACGAGGGGGTACATCGCCGCCTCTCTCTTCGGGCCTGGCTTCGGATCGCGGTCGCACCAGGCAAAGAGGTCACCCTCGGACGCCAGGGAGCTGGCCACGTAAGTGTTGTCGCGGTCCACGAACACGCCCAGGAGCTTGACGCAGTACGGGAATTGAATCTCGTTCAGGATCCTGACGAGGCCCACGTCCACCCAGGGCCTCTCGGAGGAATGGGGGTTCACCGCGTCGAACTCGCTCGGCGAGCGCCGGATCCACCTCGTCGGCATCTTCTTCACGGCCACGAAGGTACTGCCCTGCCGCATGAGCTCCACGCATCCGTGGTTCCGCTTGGCATCCTGCAGC